TGGAGAGACAGAGACCAAGACTTACGCCAGCTTAGGAGGCCATGATAAAGAACATGAAGAGTAAGTCTATAGGGGAGAAACTCTAACGGTCTTCAGGTCTGCAAATGAGCCTAGTGAGAAACTATTTTAATTCTTCTGAAAACCAGACTTCTGGGTTCATGGAGTTGAGGTGACCCACCCAGGCCATTTGCCCTAGGGTGTCCTTTTGAACCTTGAGCCTTGGAGAAATTGGTTCCTGGGAGTCTTCTGTGAGTCAAACAATGGACTAGATAAACTAGTAAGACCATTTTGCCTTGGGCATTGTTGTGCTCTTTTGAAGAATTCAAAAGAACCAGACTCCAAGGATCAGTATATCTGTAATCATTTTAATTGTTCTTCAAGACAACTGTATGAAAATCCTTCCTGACCAAAAATTTGTTTATCAGTTCTGTTCAGACCCTTTTTTCCATGTCAATGGGGATAAGATTTGGTATAAGTGTTTTGAGGTTCTCTTATTTTCCGAACATTTTTGACTCTCTAGTCAAAATGTTACCCTGATTTACAAATCTATATTAAATAAACTTCAATCAATTTCTCTTATTGGCTTAATGTGATTTTTGTCTTAATACTAGAAAAAAAAAAAACCCACTGTCGTCACAATAGAATACTATGCAATAAAGAACAATGATGAATCAGTGAAACATCTCACAACATGGATGAATCTGGGGGGCATTACGCTGAGTGAAATAAGTCAATCACAAAAGGTCAAACACGGTATAAGACCACTATTATAAAAACTCACGAAAAGGTTTACACACAAAAGAAACCATCTTTTGTTTCTTTTTACAAAGAGGGGGGGGGACACCAACTATACAATAGATAAGTAGTAACTTTGGTGAAGGGTAAGACAGTTCACAGTACTTGGGAAGTCAGCATAAACTTGACCAGGGTAGGTCATGGAAGCTTCACAGATACATCCAGACTCCCTGAGGCAACAAATTACCGGGCTGAGGGCTGGGGACCATGGTGTCGGGGGACATTTAGCTCAATTGGCATAATATAATTTATAAAGAAAATGTTCTACATCCTACTTTGGTGAGTAGCATCTGGGGTCTTAAAACCTTGTAAGCAGCCATCTAAGATACATCTACTGGTCCCACCTCATCTGCAGTAAGGGAGAATGAAGAAAATCAAAGACATAAGGGAAAGATTAGTCCAAAGGACTAATGGACGACAACTACCACAGCCTCCACCAGACTGAGTCCAGCACATGTAGATGGTGCCCAGCTACCACCACTGACTTCTCTGACAGAGACCACAATAGACGGTCCCGGACAGAGAAGGAGAAAAATGTAGAACAAAATTCTAACTTACAAAAAAAGACCAGAGTTGCTGCTCTGACAGAGACTAGAGAAACCCTGAGAGTATGGGCCCCAGACACCCTTGTAAGTCAGTACTAAAGTCACTCCTGAGGTTCACCCTTCAGCCAAAGATTAGACAGCCCCATAAAACAAAATGAGACTAAATGGGCACACCAGACTAGGGGCAGGGATGAGAAGGCAGGAGGGGACAGGAAGGCTGGTAGTGGGGAACCCAAGGTCTAGAAGGGGAGAATGTTAACATGCCATGGGGTTGGCGACTAATGTCACGAAATAGTATGTGTATTAATTGTTTAATTAGAAAGTAATTTGCTCTGTAAACCTTCATCTAAAGCACAATAAAACAAAACACACACACTCACTCACACACACACACACACACACACACACACACACACACACACACACACACAAACTAGCTATTAACTGGAAAGTAAGAATTTAAATTTATCCAAGCTCAAAGACTACATCTGACTGTGGACGGAGCGGTAGAAAACTGGGAATAAGGTGACCTCTCCAAAAGAGGAACTCCAGTAGGGAAAAGTAGCTTCTAGGGTTCTTTGAGGTGGCCACCAATATGACTAGCACCAAGGGCAGGGGAGGGTGGTGGGGGCTATGTGTACAAGGGTGTATTCGCGTGCAAGCAGCTGACAGTGATGCCTTTTCCAAAGGAGAGGCAAAAACAAAAAAAAACTATCGCCATCGAGGTGATTCCGACTCCTATCAACCCTACAGGACAGAGCAGAACTGTCCCATAGGGTTTCCAACGCTGTAAATCTTTACAGAATCCAACTGACACATCTTTTTCTCACAGAGTGACCGGTGGGTTTGAACCTTGGACCCTTCCGTTAGCAACGGAACGCTTAACCACTGTGCTACCAGGGCTCCTTTCCAAAGGGGTGGAGACCTGAAAATCGAAATCTGGGGCATCAGAAAGTAACCTCGGATGCTCATGCCCTTGAGGCATACCAAATCCTAAATCTACAGCTACACCAGAAAAGATCAATTAAGTAGCATTCTGTGCTGATGTTTCTGTTAAGTGGCTTTTATCATATTCTAATTCTCTAAACATTAGCAATGTAAGTGTGTGTCTAGTCGGCTTCTGTAAACAACAAAGAGTCTTTTTAGCACAGTTACTGTTCTGTAGCATTCACATACATAGTGTTGCTTAATTCTCACCAGCGGTGGATTTAGAACAGGTTCTCTGTGCAGTACTTTCAAGTCCTGACCAGAATAGCAGCACTAAGAACAGTTCCTGTATGCTCAGGTGAATACCTAAAAATACACACTAATTCTCCTTTTGGAGGCGGTGGAAGTCATTGTCAATCACCCTACAAAAGGCTAATATCAATGAGTGTTAGCCTCAGCTAAGCTGTTTCAAATCCTACTGTTTCAAATCCACACATTTCTGGGGTTTCTTTCAAATTCTGATGAGCTAGCTAAGAGTTGCTTCAAATTGTCATACTCCTTCTGTACTGTTTGCATGCAATTTTTAGTAAGCTCGTTTTGAGTTCAAAGCACTTCAGAGTTTATTTTTATAGGTAAGGCTCCACCCGCTCTTCAGTGGAAATCTAATAGTTTTTGTACTATATCTACAGAAATGTACTTGAGTCTTCAGGAATTTATTGAGAAGTTTTACATTTACATGTATATGTATTATTTAGTGAGCCAGATTTATATTCAGGAGCTTGTCAATTTAATATAGATTGCCCTTTGGGAGATTAACCATAGCAGGCGGTAATAAAAGTTAGGACTCTGTGTTGAAATATGATAGATGGATTGAAGACTATTGTTAAGAGTGGGTTTATTTGGTATACTTCATAGTCTCCTGTCCCCAAACACAGAGCACAATATGGGGAGGGGGTGTGATGTCAGCAATTTTATTACTCACTTCTTCCTAATGGTTCCTTTGGGCCCATTATTTCATTGATCTCATCCCATCACGGGGGGAGGAGGAGACATTTCTTTCAGACACAATTAAAAATTATTTTTAAAAAGTCCTGAATTTTCCTCACAATATATACATAAGTGTCATATGAATGAGAGAGAAATTGAAAAGACACATTTTCCAATCATCAGTGGTTCTTATTCACAAATGATACTATCTACCACCCTAGCAGCTGTTTTTGGCTGTCAAGGTAAACTGGAGGAATCTGCTGACCTTTAATGTGTAGGAGGAGCCAGCGATGCTAAACAGCCCCCTAGACATCATGCCTATGAAGAACTTCCCAGGCTAAAATGTCAGTAGAGGAACGTAAGGGAAATCAAACAGAAACCCAAGAGCAGACAATTATTTCTCTCTTTCATTGCATGATAAATCAATCAGACCAAAAATAATAATAACGATACAGAGTATCTGAGTAACAAGTAAAATATTAGATCTAGCTAATACATCTATGCCGTGGGAACAGAGAAAATACCTTCTTTTCAAGCAAAGAACTTGATAACGTATTATGCCACAAACAAAACATCAATAAATTCCTGAAGACAGGAAAATGTAGGAAACATTCTCTTATCACAATGCAATAAAACTGGAAATTATTAACACAACTAGAAAAACAAATATGCCCTATCTTCTGAATATTTTAAGTCTTCCTTGTAATTTTTGAGTCAAGAAGGAAAAACGGCATGGAAAAAATGTTAATAATATCTAGAAAACAACTATATGAAAAAACCCATTAGGTAGCTGAAAAAGTGCTCAGAGGAAAATCATAGACTTAAATAGTTACATTAAAAAGAATAAAAAATAAATCAAGCATATAACGTAAGAAGTTAAAGGGAAAAAAACTATAGAAAGCAGAAAAAGTGAATTAATATACATGAGATTATAAATTAATTATGAGAAAGAACAGTAGAGAATGAATAAATAAATTGAAATGCTGGTTCTTAAACTGTTAGCGAACCAAATCAGGAGGAGTTATAAAGGAGGCTACCACAATTACAAAAAAATAAGAAATAATACGAGGCAAATAAATACTAATATAGAGGACAAAATCATAGCAGACTTGTTTGCTCAACTCTGCAACTGACTTTCAAAACTTGGGTGAAAAATATCTAGGAAATAAGTAAAACAAATTGCCTCCAGAAGACAGAGAAGATATAATCACACCCATTACCACACAAATAAAGGTTGTTAAAGAGCTATCCCTAAGATCAGAAACACACACACACATTAGGTAGGCCTAGACAGTCTACATCACAATTTGCCAAATCTTGAAAATAACCGTTCGTTCTGATACCATCTAAACTCTTCCAGAAAATACGGGGGATAAATCAAGGAATGTTCCCAAATTCTTTTTATAAAGCAATAGTAACTTTGATATGTAAACTTGACAACGACTGCACCAAAAAGAAAATTTTATAGCAAATTAGGGGTTATCCTCTAATTCCATTAACCTCTCTGTATTTTTACTTAGGAATTCTCGTTAGCTGCTGTTGAGCCAGCCTCAACTCATGGCGACCCTATGTACAACGGGATCGAATTGTTGCGAGTCATAGAGTTTCATTGGTTGATTTTTCAGAAGTAGATCTCCAGGCCTTTCTTCCTAGTCCAGGTTAGTCTGGAAGCTCTGCTGAAACCTCTTCAGCATCATAGCAACACACAAGCCTCCAAGGACAAACAGGTGGTGGCTGCACATGAGTTGCATTTACCAGGAATCGAACCTGGGTCCCCAGCATGGTAGGCAAGAATTCTACCACTGAACCACCCATGCCCCCCATTTAGGAACAGCAATGCAAAAATCCTAAATTAAATATTAACAAATACAATCCCGAAGCAATTAAAAGAATAATACGCCATGACCAAATGGAATTTATTCTAGGAATGCAAAAAATTAAAAAAAAAAAAAGATTTAAAAAACTTAGGAAGAAAATCTATCAATACCTAATTCCTTACTGTAGCATTCAAAGCCTTTTATAGTACGACACAGTTTTCCTTTCCACATTAACTCCTCTACTCGAATAACAGTCAAACACTGTTATTCAATGTTCCACATACTTATGCTGACATTTTTTATCTCTTGGCCTCTGCTAACTTTATATCTGTGTTTGGAATGCCATTTCCCCAAACTTCTTCCCAATTCTAAAAATCCTATCCATTCATCAAAACTCAATTTAAATATCAATTCATAAGAAGAGCTTCCTTGATTCTCCCCACAATCAGAAACCTCTCTTCTTCAGCTGAACAAGCCAAATACTCTCTTCCAGCATTCCTTACACTTAATCTCGTGTTACAGATTATTTGCGTAAAGGTACTACGTCTCTTATTAGACCAGAAACTTTGAGGGTAAGGGCCACATCTTCTGCACCTCTGTATTTCAATTACCCCAAGCACAAAGCCTTATACACTTGTATGTGTCGGTGCACTAATATACAAAAATCCAGATTATAAACACAAAAGCAAACTGAAGACTTGGGGGCTTTCCTTAAAATGTTACTGCATGTGTATGGAATGAAAAGTCAGAATCTGAAAATCAGCAGGGCCATGCCATGCCAGCCCCACTATCATCCCGCAGTCGGAATCATGGCAGCATGAAGCATGCTCAGGCTCCAGGGTAAGAAACTCTAATTACCTTCAGCCAGCTCCTAAGATAACAGGAACAGCTATTGCAGAAGCCAAAAAGCAGCCCGAACCATCACTTCTGGGCATGGGTGTAGTACTGAGTAAAAACGTCAGAATGGGACTGTTGGTTTCATTAGACTGTTGGTTGGGAAGCAAGTACTTCACACCACCCACGCACCATTACCACCTCCCCAACTGCATGACTCATCCTCTTTGTATTTTCATTTTTCAGGAGGCCCATATATTAACCTGTGTTCTAAAATTTCACTGAAAATGTATAAGCTTGTGAGACAATCATAATGTCGCGTTTCAAAATGTATGTGTAATCTGTAATGCACAGCAGGTCAACAGTCCCTATCAGAACTGCACCTGAAGGTTTGCTAAGAACAGAATATTAAACAGAACAGACCCTATGGGATTTAATGTGAGAAATTGGCATTAGGTTAGAACAGTACAAAAAGGTCATATTCCAACCCTTGTTGGTACGCTTCTTGAGAACAGAATTTTAAGCATAAATCTGTTATTCTGGGTACTATTACAAAAGCAATGAAATCCAGTGAAATGATGAGTTTCTGCATTATTCTGAATACAGGAGTTACAGTTTATTTTAAGACTATGCAAAACAAATAAGTTGATATACCTATCACTTTCCTAGAATCTTAATCTATTAGTTACCTTTCATTTCTTACACCCGTGCTATCAGGCCCTCCTTTAGAGTGTGTCCTCTTTGGATGTTTGAGCCACCCCTTCTTGGTTTTCCTCCTACTTCTCTGACGTACCTGCATCTTGCATCTCCCTTTCTTTCTGCAGAGCCCTGGTGGTGCAGTGGTTAAGAACTTAGCTGCTAACCAAAAGGTTGGCAGTTTGAATCCACCAGCTGCTCCTTGGAAACCCTATGGGGCAGTTCCACTCTGTCCTACAGGGTTGCTACGAGTCGGAAATCAACTCGAAGGCAACAGGTTTGGTCTTCTTCTCCATCTGCCTTTTACAGCCCAGTGGTCCTTCGGTGTTCCTATTCAGCACTCACCTCGTGTCACACACTCTCCTTTTCAGAGCTTACCACTCTCCATGGCTTCAAAAAAACTACATCAAAATCTATGTCACCAAATATCTCTAGACAAGAATCACGTACTTAATTGTTCCCTAGCTCTCACATACATAAAGAGAACTTGCTTTCTCCGTCCCAATTCGCTATGACTTAGATTTGACTCAATGACAACGGGTTTGATTTTTGAGTAGTGACCCCCTGCAAAGATGTCCAGGTATTAATGCCTGGAATCTCAACCCTGGGTCCCTAATCCCTGGGGAGATTACCTGATGAACCCAATGCAATCAGAAAGGTTCTTATAAGAGAGAGGCAAGAGGGTCAGAGTCTGAAAGAGAGATTTAAAGATATAATGTTGATATTTTAAGATAAAGAAGGAAGGGGCCACAATCCAAGTAAAGCAGTCAGTCTTTAGAAGCTGGAAAAGGCAAAGAAATAAATTCTCCTCTACAGCTTGAAGAAGAAATCACTTCTGATTTCAGCCTAATGAAACCCATTTTAGATTTCTGACCTCCAGAACCGTAAGATAACAAATTTGCATTGTTTTAGGCAAGCCACTAAGTTTGTGGTAATTTGTTACAGCAGCATTAGAACTAATACACCAACCATTTCTTTTCTCAGTCTATGATACCACCTTAAAGCACCCCTTGATTTACTGATCATTCTCCAATACCACTCTGACACATCCAATGTCTCTCCAAGACCCATTGACTTTACCTCCTAAATTCTTCATGTGCCTCCCGCCCCATCTGCTCTAATCTCCACGGGTACTCCCTAAAACAGACCGTCATCCGGTGACTCCTTACTAGTCTCCTTGCATCTACTCAGGCCATTTCCTCCCTCACCCCAACCTGGGCAAGTTCATCATCCTCCATAAAGCCCCATACCCTTACCGTTGTCATCAAGTTGATTCTGACTCATAGCCACCCTACAGGACAGAGTAGAACTGCCCCATAGGGTTTCCAAGGCTGTAATCTTTACAGGTGCAGACTGCCACATCTTTGTCCTGCGGAACAGCTGTTGGGTTCCAAACGCCAACCTTTCAGTTAGCAGCCCAGCCACCAGAGCTTCTCATACGACCCTGGAAAATTTTTATAAGACAAAATCTGATGTTATCTCTGTTGTTGACACTAGCTGCCATTGAGGTGACCTCTGACTCATAGAGACACCATGCACAATGGAAAAAAAATCCTGCCCTGGTCCTCTGCCATCCCTATTGATCAGTTGTGAATCGAACCGTTGTGATCTATAGGGTTTTCATTGGCTTTTCTTCCTAGTATATCAGTCTGGAAGCTCCGCTGAAAACTGTTCAGCATCATAGCAACACATGAGCTTCCACCGACAGATGGGCTGTGGCTGCACATGAGGTGCACTGGCCAGGAGTCAAACCCAAGGCTCTTGCACGTACGGAAAGAATCCCACCACTGAGCCACCCCTGCCCCGATAATATCTCTAGCCAAATGAAAATAAAATGACTCACTCCTGACAACAGAATGAGAATCAAGCTTCTTCATCTGATACAAGGGCCTTCATAGTTTGACATCCACCTACCCATCCAATATTAATCTCTGCCCTCTGTTCATCTCTGGCCTCCATTCATCATGGCATTTAAACTCGGTGTTTCACCACTCACCACTCGTGTAATTGGCAGACTCCTACATATCTTTCTATACTGTGTTCTCTGATACCTTCATGGAAACCCTTAATGGTGAGCTCCCTGAGAGATGGGATCTCTCTCCACCTCTTCCTCCACAGTGCCTAGCCGCGCCCTCACTCTAGACACTAGCCTTCCCTCCTATGACCTCTGGCATACATCTGCCCCACTATCTTTCTCCTAGTCAAGGCTCATATTTAGCTTTGAATTTACTTTGAGAATTAAAAGCTACTCCCTGCCCAGTAGGACACCCTGCCCTGAGACATCTGTATGAGCGGGTGGGTGTTACATTTGAGAAATGGTACAAGAAAAACCAACTCTGGTATCATGGCCACTTCTTCTAATGCTAAGTCCACCTTAAAATATAGATGTAGGGGAAGAGGCACTTGTTAGTCCCAATTATGCTGTAGATGGAAACCCACTCAAAGATGCTTTAAAGGCACCCCTTAGTGCTCCCTTCTTGGTTATAAAGAATTGCACTTACTTTCAGTTTTTGGCATAGGTAAGTTTTTGTACTTTCAAATCATTTTTATTCCTTTCATCCCCAATTTCCTAATATTGTGTGTAAAATACGGAGCTGGAAATTATACTCTTAATATGGTCTTAACGATTTTGAACACAGTGAGTGGATTATTCCGGGATTCTTGGGTGTTATACTGTGGTTAATGACACCCCACATCGTATTTGCCTTCTTGATAACAGCCCTATATTGCTCGTATTCCTGAGTGACATTGTGAGAACGACTTTCTACCTGCAGAATACTTATATGTCAATTACATTTTTTATGATGGCTAGGGTAGTCCATCTGTATTTTTTTCCTAGAATAATAAAAACCGCATGCTTTTGCGAGGAGCTGTCTAATGCACTGACAGTATAGTTCATCCTGACTTGATGTTCCACTCTATAATTGGAACCATTAGACTCAAATCAGAGCCTCACAAAAGTTCTCTAACAGTTTTCTTTATTTTAAACATATGTAACATATCTATATGGGTGAGTAACACTTTAAATCAAAGTAAAAATAAACACTTCTTCAACTATCAGTTGCTACAACTTCATGTTAGAAGCCATAAATGCCAGAAATAATGGTTTAGGCAGACCATGGAGAAATAGTTCTTGGGGTTATACTCTGATTGCATTAGCCTCTGGGTTTCTGAGTTTTTTTTCAATTCTACAATGAGAAGGACACAGTTGAGAGCAGAGAGAAATTTTAAAGTTATCTGCCTTTCTGATAAAGCAATGGAAATGGAGACCCAAATTATGCTTCTAAAGTGAAATGAAATAGGCTCAACAAATTACTCCTTCTCTCCTGCGAGCTCTTTGAGGGAAGGGACTGTGCCTTATTCGTCTATATATCCCCAGGGTCTGACACAAAGCCGGGCACAGAGTAGATCGCAAATGTCTCAATAAATCAAGAAATAAGTACTGTTCCCAGCACTTTTAGTGACTATCA